ATGTGTGTATAGTGAATGCAGTGTGTGTAATGTGTATATAGTGAATGTAGTGTGCGTATAGTGAGTGCAGTGTATGTAGTGTGCGTATAGTGAATGCAGAGTGTTTGTATAGTGTGTGTATATAATGAATAGTGTGTAGTGTGTATATAATGTAGTGTGTGTATATAATGCAGCATGTGTAGTGTGTGTATATAATGCAGAGTGTGTAGTGTGTGCATTATATACACACACACATACACTACACACTCTGCATTATATAAACAGAGTGTGTAGGGTGTGTGTATAATGCAGAGCGTGTGTTCCTGAAGGGATGTGATTTGTGTAAAATAGAGTGAAGAAAGGCATTTTTTATTTTAATTTTTAATGTTTATATGTTTTATTTAGATTTTTTGCCCCCCCCTCCCTGCTTGTTACCTGGCCAGGGAGGGGGGCTATGACAGTCCCTGGTGGTCAGGTGGCACGGATGTGCAGTGGGGGCCGGCGCTTACTTACCTTTCCAGCAGCTCCTGCATCTCCCTGTGTAAATACTGAATATCGGCCAATAATCGGTCGATCCCTAGTTAGGAATACATGTTTGTATTCCTAACACTATAGTGTTCCTTAAAAAAATGGAGAAGCTCAGCTTCAAGTCCCCAGATTATATCTTTAAAATGTAAGTTTTCCAAAGAAGAAAACAAGTAATCAAATGAAGAAAATTTATTTTCTGAAGCTGCAACGCTCTGGTGATTTGACTTACGAACAAAATGAGAAAAGTTAGTACATGTATTATAAAGGTCATGGGACAGTTTTGCATTTAACCACTGCAAGAAACCCTACTCTTTATAGAAAGGCTGCAGGAGAGGCACCGGTAAATATTCAGGTCAAAAACAGTGACAGGGCTATTGACTAAAATGAGAATTCAAAGTGAAGTTCAAATTTAATTTTAAAGGATCACTATAGTGTCAGGGAAACAAACTTGTTTTCCTGACACTATATAACCCTTGGCTGTGCTTTTAGTTTGGTTATTCAAGCCTTAAATTTTAAATTCACTTTGAATTTCCACTTCAGTAAATAACCCTGTGAATGTTTCCAGGATCTCTGGTGAATCTATCCGCACTTCTTTCATACTGAAGGACTGGATCCTAATTAGACTAAACACATGTGTATGACAGGATATATACTTACCAGGTTATTTGTCATAAGAATGGAATGAAGATACGGGTTTGTTACAGGCTTTGTTCCACAGCCTTCTCTAAGTTATGAAAATATGCACAGACATATCTACAAGCTCTCAATTAAACATTACCTCACTATCTTTGACAGCCACACACAGTCTAACATCCAATAACCGCACTGCCTACAGCTTCTCCAATTAAAGGCACATTATAGGCACCCAGACTACGTCAGATCACTGAAGTGGTCTGGGTGCAGTGTCCCAAGCACCTTAACCCTAAACTGCAATAATTACATTGCAGGGTTAACTGCACCTCTAATGGCGGTCTACCAGCCAGCCACTAGAGGGACTTCCGGTTGCCTGACGCTGGACATCCGCACATTATGCATAAGGACATCCAGTGTTCAAAACCCCACAGGAAAGCATTATGCAATGCTTTCCTATGGGGGGCGGAGGGGAAGTCCTAACGCAGCATTTGGTCCCCCCACTGGGGGGTGGAGGCGGAGCTTGAACCAGGGCCGCAGTAAAGTAAGTGACACGGATGCCTTTAAAGAGGTGTCACTGGCTGTTTTTTCAATAAAGGGCTTATAGTGCCAGGAAAACAACCCCGTTTTCATGGCACTGTAGAATCCTACAGTTATTCAATGCTTTCCTATGGGGAAAAAAATCTAACGCTGGAGGTCATGCAGAGTGTGAGGGCGTCCAGCGTCAGATAATGGACCAAAGGTCAGTTTCAATTCCTGAAGTCCCACTAGTGGCTGTCTGGTAGACAGCCACTAGAGGAGGAGTTAACCGTGCAAGGTAATTATTGCAGTTTCTCAGATACTGCAATAATTACCAAAGGAAAAAAGTTACCTGCGCTCTCTCCTTAATCCCTATGTATATTTAAAACAAATGGAGGTAATTTAGTTACTCCAATGGCCACTGGATGGAATGCCTGCCTGCCAATGTCAAGGTAGACCCCCCTAGACGGGTCCTTCTGGCAAAAATATCTCTAATGAGACAGAAAGGGGTAGTTTTATATGCACCCCTATATACTTTTTAACCCTTAATAGGGAACTCATGGGATGGGCGGCAGCATTGATACCTTGCCGTGTGATACAAAAAAGTGAATATAAATACAAAAAGAAAAGTCCTGCACTCACTCTCATCACTCCTGGGTGGCAGCAACGACTACAGTACACATCAGCTCCAATACATATAGTAAAAACCAAAGAAAGAAAAAAAAAAGAAAAAAAAAAGTTACCTGCGCTCTCTCCTTAATCCCTATGTCTATTTAAACAAATGGAGGTCATTTAGTTACTCCAATGGCCACTGCAATAATTACCACTGTAGGGTTAAGGGACATAGGACATTGCACCCAGACCACTTCAATGAGCTGAAGTGGTCTGGGTGCCTTCAGTATCCCTTTAAAGATTTACAGGGTGCAGCTGGAAAAGTATCCAGTGAGGAGTTCTGGGGCATATGAATGCTTTGCCCCTGGGTTCCCTGTGGAACTCCTCCACAAGTAAGGTGTAATTTGAAAGCTCCAGACCCTCTATTCAAAATGTGACATGATCCGTTACACGGGGTCCAAGCTACATATAGTTAAAGTTCCAGAGGGTTGTGCCAAAGTTCCTATCCGCTCAGCAGTTCCACAGAGTTTCTAGGTTTGTCCCGGTCAGGCGCATGGTCTAAAAAAAGCAGTGTTTACATGCTGTTTAGTGATACCTCTAGTGACAGTCACTCAGA